CAGAGATGTCTATGGATTTATTTCTGGACCCTCAATTCAATTCCATCAGTTTATACATTCATCCTTATGCCAGTACCACATGTTTTCATTACTATAGCTTTGTAGTAAGTTTTGAAATCAGGAAGAATGAAATGCCAAATTTGTTCTTCCCTTTGTTTAGCTTTTATATTTAAGCTCATAATTCATCTTAAACTAACTTTTGTAAATGGTGTCAGGTAGGGTTTCTTATTCCCTCATGGATGCCAAGTTGCTCCAGAATAATTTGTTGAAAGGACAACCTTGAAAAGACAAGACTGACTTTTTGTTTTTGTTTTTCATTTCTAACATGTTATGAAAGCTTACTAAGTTTGAGGCATTTTACACGTATTATATAATGTAGCATTCACAACAACAAAAACATGAGAGAGATACTATAATCTATTTTAGTGATGTAGAAAATGAAGCAGAATAGTTACATAACATACACAAAATGTCACAGCTAATTTGTAAAAGGCTGTGGACTAAAACCCAGGTTTGTCTAATGTCAAAGTCTATATAATTCTACCTTTTAGCTGCCCTTCATCCAGCATGATAGTAATTCATCCTCTCTTCTTTAGAATCTTTTACTGTATTTCCCTCTTCCAAATCTTTCTGCCTTTTTCCAAGCCTTATTCACACTCTTAACTTGTACATGTATCAGAGTCTTTGCTTATGATTTCCTTTTTATACTATGCTTATTAAATCACAAGATATTATTATGAGTAGCAAAGTCAGAGAGAACTTAGAGCAAATAGAAAAAGTCATGGGCTATTTCAAATTTAATCTGCATTTAATTTATGTAAAAAAGTTTCCTAGATAGAAAAGGCATGAAGTTATTTTAATACAACTAATGTATAAGCAAAACGTCACAAAAAACTGATATCAAAATCAATATTCAAGATAAATGTGCTTTGGCATTTGAAAAAACTCTTCCAAGTTTTAGTAATTTTTTAAAAAAGTCTTAGAATTCCCAACTTTACAAGAGCTCCTAAATTATTATTTTGAACAGTTTATAATTGGCTATAATTAAAATAAAATAAAAACAAAACAAAATGCCTTATCCTCTAACAGATTGGGTATATAAAGGCGAAGCAAAGAGGATAACAAGGTGATAATTTCAGAGATGATAAGTACTTCTGGCAACTCTTCATGCCATTGCACAGACACAATCTGATTCTTGTCCTGCTATGCATGTCCTGCTATGCACCAATGTTTTCCACAAACAGTTCTCTGTTTTCACTACTTGTCAGCTTAATGTTTCTTGGACTTTCTAATTGTGTAATGGAAGAGCAGAGTCAAGACTATTTAACTGGAATGTTGACATTAGAAGAAGTTTTCTTTTCCAGAGATCATGTCCAGTTTTGTCTAAGGTACTCAGTTTAGAGTAATAAGACATGCAATGCTTTCAGGAGCTGCATTTTGAAAAATAACAGTATTTTCTTGATGGGCATGATCAGTCTTTTCATCATCTAAATCAACTGTTTGCTCATCTCCAGTCTATTCCCAATATAGAAATCTAATCATATCACTCTACTGTTTAAAAATCTCTAACTCAGAAAATAAAGCTTTATGCCTTTGACAGAGGCGTCCCTTTTAAAAATGAACTCATATTCTTTCACTCCTAGGCTCAAAATTTTGCGAGGCCTACCCATTTTGCTTGGAGTTAAAGTCCTTACAATGCCCTAATTATCTGTAGTCCTTTCTTTACCCTTCTGACTTTGTCACTATTTTATCCCTCAGCCACTTTGTTCTGGCCTCTTTTTGTCATACTTTGCATGTTCCCTATCTTAATGTTTCTGTTCTAGTTGTTCCCTGTTTCTGGAATGCTCTTCCCCAGGAAATCTATTGCTGCGTCACCTTCAAATATTTTCTCAAATTTTATGCTTTTCAATGAGGCCCACTCCGAGCATTTTACTGAGTACCACAAATCCTCTTTTCCTTCTCTACTCTGGATTTCCTCCATCTGTTCGACTTTCTTTTTTCTATAACACTTATCCCCTTATAAAATAGGATATAGTTTACTTATTTATTTTTTATAGACTAGATCTCTCTCTTGGAATTTAATTTCCAGGAAGGCAATTTTAGTCAATGACATATATCCTGAGTATCTAGAATACTGCCTGACACACAGCAAGTACTCTATAAATACTTGGTAAATGAATGAATGAATTTTTTGTTTTACCACATTTGTTCCCCCAAATTTAAGTACAAAACTGAAGCAAGAGAAAACAGATGCCACTTTTAGTATTTCTCCAACATAAATATAAGTTTCAACCATCCTTGGAGTTGACATGATTCCTATTTGGTACCGCCTTAGTTGAGGCCCTTTAATTGCTTTGAATGAGAGTTCCTCCTTCACATGGTGGTCAGAATTAGCACCGATAAAGCACAAACCTAAACAGATTACTCCACTGCCAAAAAAAATCTATTTATCTTAAAAAAAGTCTTTACTCCTTGGCTTGATATATGTGCCCTATAATCTAACCTCAACCTAATTTGTGACTCCTCTCCCACCTTTCCTTATAACACTCATGATCTTGTCACACTAGAACATATCATTCATTTTCACTAAGCGATACTGATTTGAATATTCTACATTTTCTTCATCTCCATGGATGCTATAGAACTTTCATGACCCAAGGCAAATGCCTCATTTCTTATCAGGCCTTCTTTAATGCCCTAGAGTTTTCCCTCCTTTCTGTGCTCCCAAGGTACTTTCTATATCTATGGACTAAAGCGGATTAAAAACATTGTATTATGTTTGTGTCTCACTCCCCCACTAATCTGTAGATTCCTTAGTTATTCATCTTTTATATTCTACTTTTATTTTTTTCGAACTCACCCAGTAGTTGTCATAGTGAATGTCATATAGAAAGCATTAAATACATTTGGTAGATTTAAGAGTGCCTATGTGTTTAATGTTTTCCTGGATAATGATGATGATTAATGTTCTAAAGTGCAGTTACATTCGTTAATGGCTATTTTTCAAAACTGATTACATCCTTCTCAAGATATAGGAATTGGAATCTGAGCCTATAATTAAAATAATATTTAACTAGCAGTAAATATTCCAAATATAAAAGCCTAAATCATAGTGACATAAAAATAGGTTAATATACTACTCAGCCTTTTAATTGTCATTAGATCAAACATGATCCAAGAGCTCCTAGAAATTAGGATTAGGTTGGGAATATACTTGGTTGCTATTCATTTCTGGGTCTCAGAATCCCTTAGTATTGTATTTAAAATCAAGTATATTACATTGAAACTGTCAAGAGCAATTTTCCAAGTGAGAAAAATGACATGAAAATCATATACTAAAGTGACAACATTTTACTCAGCTCAAAAATTATCTTGAATTTGCACCATTTTAATTTTCACTGATTAACTTTATATGGAAAAATCACCTGCAATATGAGGATTAACTTTACCTATTTTCCAGAAGCCTAGTGAGATTTTTATCAATGATTACAATGCTTGGGTGTGTCTGGGATGTCATATGAACAAGACAGGCTGATTGATGGCTTTGGAAAATGTGCCATGTTTCTACTTAATAAAGCATGAAAAGTAATTTGACAGAGTGCTTCAAGAATGCACTTTGCACATGTTTTTCTGCCCTATCTTCGGGGAGATAAGTGAGACAAAAGAAAAAGACTAAAGTTAGTATTCTTCCTGAATCTATTTAGAATCCAGTATGGTTTTTAGAAATTATCTACTCTAGAGAAGGTATTGTAAGAGGCATAAAAGGGGTCCACATGTGTGAGCAATTAAAGGTTAGAAGTTTTAAGATTCTGTCATTTCTTCATTCTCACCAAAGTCAGTGGTCCACCCTACCTCAGTCTTTCTTCCCTGTCCTTTAAGCTGATTCCTGGCCAAATTCAGAACGGGCAGAACCTGCAAATCTGGCCCTCTGAACAAAAGATTGAGTTGGTTAACACAAGTTTCACGAGTAAGTCCAGGCCGTTACTGAGTCAACTGGATAAACAGACTACCCGTGTCTGACTCTGGAGTGCAGATCAAGTTGATATGGTTGGACAACTGGCCAAAGGAAATGGCTGGGGACGCGCGCGCGTATATATGTGTGTGTGTGTGTGTGTGTGTGTGTGTGTGTGTGTGTGTGTGTGTGTGTGTGTGTGTGTGTGTGTGTGTGTTGGTGTCTGGGGATGGGGTCCGATAGTTATAATAGGTGGGGCCAAAGTCCTACCTCAAAGGCAAACGCTACAGGCAACATATGTAAAAACGTTTATCTATGCAGTGAAGCTTTAAGTACATCCCAAGACCCACGCTATCCCCATACCCACGTTCCTCCAACGACACTGTTGCCCCATGCCACTGCTATACAGAAATTTTGGTGTCTAACATGCCAGAATCCCTGCCCAAAACAGGGAGGAGGTCAATGGCTGAAGGCCAAGCTCCAGGCACTGGAAAATGAGGAAAGTCTTGCGGCAAAAAGAAAGGGCAGTCCCCTCTTCCTCTAGCACTCCCAGCCGCATGCTGGACCAATTCACTCCAGGCCCTAGATTCTCATCTTTTCCCCGGCCCGAAGAGGGCAAGAAAAGCAAACATAAGGGCTCCCAAGTCTTCAACAAAGACTTAGCTTAGCCGTCGGCGGAAGCGCTTCTCTACTAACCTCGCTCCTTTCATCTCTCCTACCGCGGGCTGGAGTTCCCGGCTTCTCGCCGACCAGACGCAGTGCTGGCTGGGACAGTAACACCAAAAACGCCAGGGCTAGGGCGCCCCCTTCCCCGCCGCAGTTTGCGCATGTGCGAAGGGGGGCTTCTGGGGGAGCGGGTGGCTTGGTTGCTAAGAAACACAGCTGGAGAGGAAAGTTCCGCTTAACGCCGGGCTGCGAAAGGCGGGAAAATCGCGCTATTGGTAGAGAGTAGAGAGAAAGGGCCGGTTTGAAGGCCTTCTTTTCTGTCCATTGGATGAACTAGATATCAATCATTCAGGCTGGGTGGGAGGGGCTGACAGAGGTCGGTGAAAGCGGCCTTAGCAGCTACTTGTGAGCTGTAAAGACTTGGGTTGGGCGGGGCTGCGGGAGGTGACGCCGGGAGGTCGCTGCTTTGAGCGCCGGCTGGGGATCCGCTGAGTGTGAAGCTCTAACCTTCTACTGGGACAGGTGCTGAAGTTTTTACCCCAGAGCAAGGAAGGGATTGTGTTTAGTTTACGCGCCGTGTTATTCCTTTCCTTTTCGTGATCCTCGGTGTCGTTAGTAACCTCCCCCAACCTCCTGTAGCCAAATGGAAGCATTGTCCGAGAGTCAAGGGACAAAAGAGCGACTCTCCAGTTTTTCCTCTTATCAGCCCCATCAGCTGCTAGTACCCACAGTCCACAATAGGTTGGGGATAGAAGCCGCGTTCTTCAGCCAAAAAGGAACTGAGTACAGAGAATGAGATATTGCAGAACTGTTGGAGGACCTGATGGGGCCGACTGTGAGCTCCAAGAACCACGGCCAGGGGAGCTCCAGACTCTGCCACTGTTAGGAAGGTGAGGATTCAGAAGTCGGCCCCTGGAACTATGGAGCTGAAAACCACACCAGTGCATGTGCAGTCCAGGGATCAAGAATCTAAAGCTGCTACAACCAACTCCTACCGCATGTAAAACTGGCGATCCACAGGAGTAAGGAAGCAGTGCAGTTGCTGCCACTGCTTCTTGACCCAAAGCTGGGGAGAATAGACTGCAGGAGAGGCTGCAGGAGAACCTGAAGTGTAATCCCAGATCCCTGGAGTAGTTTTTCACTTGGAAAATGTAGTTTTTCCCTTTTCAGCCTCTGAATTATATAGGATAGCATGCTAGATGAAGGTGGGAAGGGATGCTGTGTTTCAATCAAGGATGTCCCGCAAAATAAGCAAATTCTATTATTTCGACATAGGCATATATGGAAGTAAATATTTCTTAAACAACTGCCTTTCAAATACACCGAGTACATGTAAAAATTGGCACATTTTCAGATATACCAAGTACATCAGAATTGCATTTTGACACAGTACCATCCGCTGTTCTAGGATGCCTTCCTTTGCCTCTTTTCTCTCTCAAAAGGCCCTAATTTTAAAGAAAAACCTAACTGCTTAAAAAAAAGAACCAGGTTTTTCACCAAGACGTTGATAGCCAAAAGCACAAATATTAGCAAGAGGAAAAAGGGAAAATTGTTGAGGTTCATTATATAGTAGGCAATAGGTACTTTAATAGTTTATTATCAATTATTCTGGTTCTGCTAACTATTCTAGTTATGTAGTTTATCTTTCTCCCACGCGGGTGTGTATTACAGGCATCTAACTATCTTACAAGTTCAGACTAATGGAAGAAAAGAGCAGCAAAAATTGAACTGAATGAATCCCAAAAGCAAGAAATTAAAGAAGCCCTTAATTTATTTGCTGTTGATGGGTCTGGAACCATCGATGTAGAAGAACTGAAGGTTCTGAAATAATTTCTAATTCTAAATCTTTTTTTTTTTTTTTTTTTTTTTAGACGGAGTTTCGCTCTT